ATCAAAAATAAATTAACTTTAAAGCTTGCTCTGACATTTGACTTAATAATAAACTGTTACGTAAATATTTTAAGTTGGTATAAGCAAAAACAGTGTGGCAATTCAGAAAAATTAAACATGTGACTAGTTCTTGTGATAGGTTAAAGAAATTGTTTATCGAAATTGCTGGAATTGTTCTACGGAATTATCAAATATCAATTACGAAGTATAAGATTGTCGCAGTAATGAAGTTCAGAAGATTAAAGATTATGTCCAACAAATCTAATTAAATATTTCTGGTGAGAAGACTACCTTAGATATATTTGTTAAATAATTGTTGGATGATATTTTGATGACTCTCTTGATATCATTTATACTAGAGCACATGATATTTGCCATGCTTAATATACCCCAGCCACTTAACTTTCTGGGACACCTGACGCGTGATAAAGAAAGATAAGTATGTACGTACAGTACATACGCACGTACGTACAAAGCATTATTGTAACCAACTTTCTTAAATTAAACTTATTGTGACTATTTTAGTATTAAATTTATTAAATTTAAAAATTTTGTGGGGTACATTTATTTTTAAGGTCAGAGTTTGAATTTAGAGTAGTAATTACTAATAAAAGAAAACAAGTGGTTTTAATAGTTTTGTAGATTTAAATAGAGATTTCGAGATTTCAACATTAGCGTTAGCATAAGCCCATATACTTGTATCAATAAAATGGTAATATTTTGGTAGTGATTGAATGCACTCAATAATTTAAAGGAAAAAATGCATTAAGTAAACTAATTACACGGTTTATTTATGGTCAGTCTTTTTTTTTTTTTTTCTTATTAAAAAGGAAAATAAACAAGTCATATGAATAGAATTTACGTAACTTGGAAAGTATGTGTAATTCACCATAATATACCGCCCACCTTATAACTTCATCCGTAAGCATAATTTGTAATCTATATCTAGAATTTTTAATTATAAACGGAATAATAAAAATTTGTAGATTCATAAAATCGGAAAATCGGAAAATCATGTTTTGCGTTTTGTTAAATTTGTAATCTTACACACATAAATTATAACTATAAATGAAAATTGCGTTACGTCAAAATGCCAAAAATTTTATTCCGCGAAAAATGCCAAAATTTTATTCCGCGAAAAATGCCAAAAATTTTATCCCACGAAAAATGCCAAAAATTTTATCCCATGAAAAATGCCAAAAACTTTATCCCATGAAAAATGCCAAAAATTTTATCCCATGAAAAATGCCAAAAATGTTATCCCATGAAAAATGCAAAAAATTTTATCCCGTAAAAAATGTTAATATGCAACGGGAAGCCGATATTAATGAAGTTTGATATTATCGTGATATATGATATTAACGTGATGCTAATATTAATTAATATTAACGATGCCTACGACGTCCAACATTGAATTGAAAAAGTTTTTTTTTTATTTTTTAGTTTCTTCGAAAGTCTTCATTGCCAATTAAAGATCCATACGATTTTGATTACGCGGTTGAACATGGAATTTTTTTTTTTAATAATGATAAAAATATATTTTTTTATCAATATAATCTAATTAAGATATTTAAAATATGGTAGGGGTTCCTGAAATGAAAATGTCCGAAATGTCTGTATTTGTTGGATTTTCTGAGGGAGTAAAGAGGCTGGTGGAACCTTCAATTAAATGAACTATGAGAGTATTCATAGGAGGATCTGTATTGGCTGTAGCAGTAGTGTTCGGAGGTTGGGTGCTATTGGTGTTTGGAGTGGTGTTGGGAGGTTGGGTGCTAGTGGAGTTTAGAGGTTGGGTGCTAGTGGAATTTGGAGGTTGGGTGCTAGTGGAGTTTGGAGGTAGGGTGTTAGTGGAGTTTGGAGTTTGGGTGCTAGTGGTGTTTGGAGGTTGGACGTTATTCATTTTTTTATAAAATGTATTTTTTAAAATTTTAAGAGTCAATTATCAGTTATATATCTGTTAACTAACCACATGCACATTGATGTTAACTCGTATAATCGTTATATCTTTTTAGCTTTTTCATGTGCAATTAAATGCTTTCTTCTTCACTTATTGTATATAATCCCATTGTTCATATTATCGTCAATAGCTAAGAAACTTCTTTTACAACATAAAAACTGGTAACCGGTTTTAATAACAAATAAAATCGATACTAATGACGTAAGTAACTAATTAAGTCAACTGAAAGATAAACAAAAGCCATTATACCTATAAAGTTTTTGTACAAAGGATTTAATTGTATATATTTTATCCGAATAAACAAAATGGATAAATTTTTAATTTTAATTTTTTTTTTATTATGTGATAAGATCAATACGGGTACAGTACATGATATGAATTAACGCGCGTACGTATCTTACCTATCTGCTATCTAAAGAACTAATTTAAAGAATTGTGCCAATTTTAAAAAATCACAAAGTAAAAACAATAAAGACAGGTTTGGAACAATAGCGATAATTAAAATATTATGAATTAATAAATTACAAGGGTTGACTGTATTTGAAAAATGTGGTTAGAAATTAAATTTTGATTGGACTACTTGAAAAAATTAGTTCAGAATAATTTTCAACAATAATTTATTCAGGGTAAAAGTAGAAATAGTAAAAAATTGCATTCCCAGATTATCATGGTTCTGGCTTTTATGCTATTTTTACTTAATTTCATATGTCGAAATTGTTACAAATACGGACCTCCGATTCAAAATGAAATAATCGCCAAGTTAAAGGTTTATTTCTTGTCGGACTCAATAATTATAAAATCTGATATGTTTTAATCCGATAAATTATAAACTAAAAGCGCGCATCACTCATATGAGAACAGGTAGAGTATATCAGATATATAAGATTGAAACCGATTATAGTAAAGATTTTGTGTTAACTAAAACTTATCATTACATTATCCTGTGATTTTATTGGTTTTGTACTGATACAAGGTCCGGATGCCCGGAAGATGCTGTCAAAATTGACAGTAAATGGGATCGATTAAAATGATTTTTGAATCGTCACATGAATAAATTTAAAACAATGCTAAAAAACCTTATCTTTATTCATCAAATTCGTTATTTTGTGTAACAAATTTCAAATTTCCCCATAAAAAAAAAAAAAAAAAAAAAAAAAAAAAAAAAAAAAAAAAAAAAAACACAAAAAAAAAAAAAATTTTAATAGGATTTATAGGTAGAGAATCTGCATAGTAGAAATCCTAAGTTTAGTAAAGTAGTACAGATTTTAATAGTCATGCTAATTAATGCTTAATTCAGTAAAAAACTTGAGTACAAAGAATATAGATTGAGTAGATACAAGTAAGTCTACTATATAATGTAATCTGATACTTTGTATTAGTAGTAATACTAACTTGGCTTGGTAGCTAACTAGATTAAGAGAATTTACTTCATAAAATATCTAGTTAAAATTTTAGAAGACTATATCTAGTAGAAAGCCATAACAAAAACTAGATTTGTACGAATATTAGCAAAGGTTTAATTCTAATAAATCTATAAAATGAATATATAATTATTTTAGTAGAAATTACTTTTAAGATTAACTAGAGCTCTATAGCTCACAATATGTTAGATAAATATATCTTAAGAGGATCTAAGTCATGTAGTAAATAGATCTACGAGCAAGTTAGTAGCTTAAGTAATCAGATATAGTGATGCTATTAGTTTGAGATAGAAGGAAGAGTAAATAATCAGAGTATTTGAATAGGTAATTTATAAGTAGATTACAGAGATAACAGCATAGTATAGAACTAAAAGAAAGTTAATTATCTGTATAGCAGACTACTTAAATTAGACAATAACTAAAATTATATATATAGTTTGTTGTATACTTATCATATAACTATAAAATCTTAGAGAACTACTTATGTGGTAGCTCTATAATAACAAACTAATAAAATCTAATTAGCTAAAAAAATAGTCTTAATAACAAAAAGAAACTACTATAATACAAACTTTTTACAAAACCTATTCAAGAATTTGTTTCTTCTAAAATAAAAACTAAACTATTCTATTGAAACTAGTCTTTCTTCTGCTTTTTTATATAGTACTATAATATGTCCTATTCACTAATAAGAATTCTAATATTTCTTAACTACTACAATAGACAAATATAAAGAAATACATAATGCAATAGTAATAAACAAAAACAACAAAGACCAAAATTTTAAGATATTAAAGAAAAAACTAGCTATTGACTACTGGATAAATGAAGAATTCACAAATCTAGATATATATAAAATTACTAAATATACTTTTCATCTTATTAGTTTGGCAAAAATTCTAATTTAACAAAACTTCAATAAATTAAGAGAATTAATAAGTTTTATATAGAACAATTTACTAAACTTCTACTTTTATCTCTTGAAGAATTTCTAGAATCAGATAAAGTAGATCTGGTGATCTTAGTATAGTAGTTAGATTGCTAGACCACTATACAAGAGGTCTAGGGTTTAAATTCTACTGTATATAGAATTAAATAATTACCTAGACATCTGTATTCAACTTACAGTAAAACTCTACTCATTTCTAGGATTGTAACTCTATAAATTATATTGCACTAATACCAATTGGTATATTAGAAGTATGACAAGGTATTCGGTGAGATGTAACGTTATATAAATAAATCTTGATAGAATCTATAGACAGAGGATCTGCATAGTAGAAATCCTGAGTTAGATGAAGTAGTATGAATTTCAACAGTCATACCAGTTTACACCTGACTGATGAAAGGAATCTGTAGCTAAAGGATATGACTAAGTGGGTACGAATAAGTCCATCACACAAGGTTATATAGCAACACAAACTTGGCTTGGTAGCTAACTGAATTAGGAGGATCTGTCTTATGAAATATTAGAAAACATGGAGGACTGATCTAGTGGAAGATCATAGTAAGAACTAGGTTTGTATGAATATCAAACAAAGGTATATGCAAGCTAAATTAGGATATAGTATAGCATAGTTAGGTACTACAGTACCTATCGATTAGAAAGTTGGTAAAGGGGTATCTAAAATAGGTCTAGGCTTCGAATTATAAAGTTTGTGAACTCATGTCAGCTCTGTTGATGTCTTCTGAAAATAGAAATAGTACAGGGTTAGGTGAATTTAGATAATAAATAATAGCAGAATAGGAATGGCATATAGCTAAAAAGTTTAAATAAAGAATTTTCAAATAAATTTCAGGTATAGCAGCTAGTATAGAACCTTCGAGTAGACTACTTAAATTAGACAATCTAAAGTTGTACATGTAACTAGTTGTACTCTCACATATGTAATCATTGTTCAAAACTATCTATACTAATAAAAATCTTACTGATGACATGTTTATCAAGTAAAAAAAAAAAAAAAAAAAAAAAAAAAAAAAGAATCAGATAAAGTAATACTACCTTTTATTTACTAATCAAAGATCATCATAATATTAGAGTAGCAGTAGTAGCAACTCTCTATATATTATATATCTTTGATAATTTATCAAAAGAATATATAGCTAATAAGAAAACTTTATTACTAGCTTCTTTTAACTTACTAAATAAAGTAACTTATGAATTTTTTCTAATTACTTCTTATTTTGAATTCAGAAATCTAAAAAATCTCAAACAACTACTATACTCTTACTACTTGTTTAGTAATATCTCTCCTACTTTCTTTGACTTACTACTACCTAAATCATCTTTATCTTCAACTCTACAAGAACTTATACTCTAACTTAGACTAATCTTTCTTTTTTATCTCAAGAATTCTGAAGACTTTAAAGAATATGTTAAAATGCTAAGAGAAGAATATATATTTATTACTTTATCAAATGATTATTTAATTAACAAAAAAAGACTTTTTGCTAATCTTTTCTAACTCAAATTAAAAGAATATTTTACTTTTCTAATGAATAATATTAAAGATATTTAACACTTTTTAGAAATTATTCCTAACTACAGATATTTAGCATTTTCTAGAAATTATTTCTAACTACTACCAAATACTTAATCTATTTTTACTAGTATATACTAATACAAACTATATTAACAGACCAGACTTTTCTAACAACTACAACTTAGTTACTAAAATCAACTTCACTATATCAATTCTGACTTCAAAAGAGCTCACAATTGCAGCTAAAGCTCTAAGAAAATACTACTACTTCTATACAATTCCAAAGAGTGAATACAAATCTTTACTAAGAACACAAATATAAGTAGACAAATATCTAATATCAATAAAGAACTAAACAAGATTCTTCAACTCAAAGACTCTGTTACTATTATATATTTTCTAATTATTGATTAAGCAAATATTGCAAATATAATTAAATTACTAAAACAATACTTTGACTTTGATAATATTCTTAACTTCATTTTTGTAGTAAACAATCTATCTTCACTATAGTAAGATATCTTTGACAACTATACAACAAACTCAAGTAATACAAACTAAGATATGATAATACTACCTTCTAATAATATTAACTCAAATAAATAATTAACAAAATATAATACAAACAATTAGTACTCCTAGCTATAATACTTCTTTATACAATTTATCAAACTCTAAAGAAAAAATTAATTTTCTATCTCATAACATCAGAAAACTTAATAACAATATTAAACTACAACAATGAATTATATATTATAGTTAAAAAATATCTACATAGTTGTGATTTTTGAAACAAAACTAAATGACTCTTCTCAGGCTTTATTTACAAACCTTATTTATAAATTCTTTACTTCTAATTACACTTCTATATCTCAACAATAAAGAGAAGCAAGTATGAGAATAGTACTTATGATATATAATACTATATAACTATATATTTATAATATAATAACTTTTCAAAAAACAATTCTTGCAATAGACTTTTATTTCTCTAACAACAAAATATGAATAATCTCTGTATATTTTCCTACTAATAATT